TGAATCATATTCAAGGTCACAAGGAGCAAATATGTTTAAAATATTTCAACAACTTGTTCTGAATAACCAAAAGGCTCAGGATGTTGATATTTAGTTAGTAGCATATGCTGGGATCAAGGACTACTATGTTTGTTAAAGTGAATGACTTTGACTTATATTCAAGGTCACAGGGGTCAAATTTGTTTAAAATCTTTAAACAACCTCTTATGAATAACCATGGATCCCAGGATGTTTATACTTTGCAAGTTGCATCCTGAGATGAAAGGCTATACAATGTGTTCAACATAATGACTTTGTTCGACTTTCAATCACAGGGGTGAAATGTTTTAAAAAAAAATAACAGGGTCTTTTAAACGAATTTTAATCATAAATACTGATATTTTGCCTGTAGCTTTATTTTAGATCACTTTTAAGGTTACAAGTGTCAGTTTTATACCAGGTGAGCGATGCAGGCCCATTGGGCCTCTTGTCTCTATTTCTATGTATTTTCAGGTTTTCACAAAAACAAGCTCTCTGTATTTACATGGCATTACATGTGAATAGCAATAAAAATTAAATCTACATATATATGTATGTTTTATCGGGATGCCATCCTGATGCAGATAGTGCTAATGTGCAAAACCTATTACCTTGACACATACATGCACAATATCAATGGAGGTTTTAAAAACATTTCATTTAGTTCTAAAAGACCACGTGGCTGTAAAATATACTTTCTTATCTCTGTATAGCAATCACTCAACGGATTGTTAATTTTGTAGAACACATACAAAAGGAAAAGGAAATATAAACATATTTTTTTTTGGTTTTCCACTTTTGAGAAACTAATTTGCATCTGATAACCTTCACCATATACCTACTGATGTGAAGTTTGACCTCTAAAATATGAGGCGTCATATACAGAGGTGAAATTCTGAGTTTTACCTTTGTGACTTCAGTAAAAATAGATATTTGTCTCCACTGAATCTTCCAGTATGCTAATTAGATAGTTCAGTGCAAAAAGATAGGTAGGTATATAGGTCTATCTTATTGTCAAAGGAAAGGACAATCCTAGCCTGTGTACATAAACAAAGGGAAGAGCTATTGGGTGCAAACAGCCCTGAGCTTGACCTTAAGACCTGTATAAGTAATAAGGTTCTCGTTATATAACTTTTAATGTTCACGTTTCCTATTATAGCTGTGAGTAAAGGTGGATAAAATGTCAGCTGTGGTTAAATATGGCTAAGATATTTCCTGTCTGATGGAAATTAATTTAGATTTAATATGCCTGATCGGTAAATATATAATGTAGATGTAGTGGTTTAGGTTGATATTGGTTTATTTGACAATTGAGGAAGACCAGCTAAAATAAAACAGACCAAATGTATTTACTTGTATTGTATATATTGTAAAGGAGTTTGTTGTGAAAGACATGTTATTGAAGTATTTCTTGTGCATTCATCCAACAGTTCTACGGAGACAAAGAGAAACTCAACATGAGTCATACATGTCGGAGTTGTTTCTTTACAAATTGTGAAGTTGCCAACAGTTACACGTGAACACTGATACACACTTGTTTACCCTAATGTTGACTGATCACCAAAATAAAAATTTAAAAAACCCTGTCTTGATAGTGTGTGTGGAAATTTCCTGAGACTTAACAGTTGTTACCAATTAGCATCTTCCAAGCATCATCCATAGATATAGAAATATAATATATTTGTATATATTGTGATAATACATATTTGTATATAGATGATTGGAGATCAGAATTATAGAGGTTTCAGTAATCATATAACAGATGTTATTTTTGTACATGTCTATAGTTCAGACATGATTTTTCAGGGTACATCAACAATTCTTGTTTACAGGTTTTTACTCTGGTTCAAGAGACTTTATGCAAATTTCCCTATTTGACCTTCCTCTGACCGCAGTATTGATGGCATTGGTTTTATTTTGACAGGGATCAGTAAACCAGAGACACCTGAAACTGTCGATTTTGGTCATATGTCCAGAGGGTCCTTTTTGTTTGTGTTCAGCCAAGTGGAGAAGTCCAGGTTAGTATTGATGATACACAATATACCGGAATATGACCCTGATCTGCACAACCCATTTTTACCATCAATATGATGAGAAAAATAATTTTGATAATTTATATGTTGAATAAACATTAAAGATTTTACTTTTTTACTAATTTATATTCTGAAGTTTTATTTTAAAATTGTTCTCAAGACTGGCTATAGTATGCTCTATTTGTTGTGTTGCCTGTACTAGTGGGCTTTCCCATTCCCTTACATGTAGTACACATATAGCTGTGACCGAGTTATTAAAAGATATATGCTTATATTGCAAACTTGATCCCCCCCCCCCAACAATGACTGATACAATTACACATTTAATTATACAATGTTGCAGTCATTCGAAAAATAACACCAAGCATTGTTAAAGTACATTTCTGGATCTTCTTTATGTTTACTTGTATCAGTAACAGGTTTATAGTCACACATGTTTGTAGTAGTTATCGATTTTGCAGAAAAGATAACGTATAATCAATAATTTACGTGAAATCAACAACAGATGGCTTTCCAAAGTCACCTGTGCTGTCTATATTGACATACATGTACTCGTGTAGTATTTCGAGGCTAAGACGTCTGACATTCTGCTATAACTAGTCCTTCACCACTAGGTCACGGGTTCGAGACCTACGTAGGGCAGTCGCCAGGTAATGGCGGTAGGTCAGTGTTTTTTCTGCGGGATCTCTGGGTTTCCTTCACCAGTAAAACCTTGCACGTCCTTAAATGACCATAGCTGTTAATATGACATAAAACACAAACAAACCAAAAATTCTAGGTGTTTTCTGTAGTTAAATATTAAATCTATTTATACTGTATCAGTATTTCATATCACAGCCCCAGGTTATATAGTGTATTTATACTGTATCACAGCCCCAGGTTATATAGTGTATTTATACTGTATCACAGCCCCAGGTTATATAGTGTATTTTTACTGTATCACAGCCCCAGGTTATATAGTGTATTTATACTGTATCATTATTTCATATCACGGCCACAGGTTATATAGTGTATTTATACTGTATCACTATTTCATATCACGGCCACAGGTTATAACTGACAATTAAGTTACCTAATACAGGTGTAGCTATTGTAAAGCTATTGATGGACCACCTGTTGTAAAGTGATCGACCAGCCACTCAATGTAAATGATTGACTATCCACCACTTGTAAAATGATGAAGTAGTTTGTTTTGGTTATGTACATATACTGGAGATGTTACCAAACTCGGGGTAATTTTGGTCCGTGGCACATACTGTGCGGTGGTCATTGTGGGTTTATATTATGTCAGAACAGACACAGAATGCCAGAGTCCTGAATCATCTGCTTCCTGATGTGTACCTAAAGAAATTCTACTCTGGCCATAATTTGATAAGATTGACCAACCACCTATTGTGAAATAATTGAGTTAGTTGAGTCCTGGACACAGGTAACAGAGTTGACACGAGGTTGTCATATATGTCAACAAGTTGGTGATAATTCTAGTCCTCTGTACTGCTAGGCTGGTCATTGTGTTTGTCAGGTCCTGAATCAACTTCTTCCTGGTGTATATATATAGACATAGTACTCACAGGGGCAGTCATTTAATATGTTAGGTACACAGGTATACTGTGTAATTAGGTGGGGCTGGTATAAGTACACCAGTAAACAATGGTATGACTTGTAGTTTTGACTGCCCACCAGTGTATATAAAAATAGACATGTTGTGCATTCCCGAAATTTTAAAACATCCAGAGATATCAATTTGTTAGGTCTTACATCTGTAAAAAAGTGTATAAGAAATTAAATACAGCGTATGTCTTTACAACAGATACAGGAAAGTAAAAGGTATAGAATTTGTGTTAATTCTTAATTTAAGGTAATACAGAATCTTTTTAGCAGACTATGAATTAAATTCCATGGCCAACATCATGAAGGAAGAGAATTTGAGCACCAGTTTGTGTAATCAGCTGTCTGAATGGGACAAATCCTGTTTAACTGATATTTTCTATCTCTGATAAATTGCATTTTTTCATCTTTCTAATTAAAATCAGACCCGAATTCCCGTTCCTCTACGATACTCTTACATTGGGTAATAAGAGTATCGTAAATGAACGGGAATTAGGATCTAATTTTAATTAGATTGATTTTTTCACAAACTTACGTCAAAAGATCTTTTCTGAAAACTGCACAGTTTTCTTTTTGTGTTGTTTCAGATTCTATAAGGACAAGAATTTTGTTATTTTCTATTTTTTCCCCTGATATTTTCAAAATAATAACAAAAAATATTATATGAGTTACCCCTTTCAGAAAATAGCTCTAGTTAATCAATTAATATTTTAGAAAAAAAAAGTTTGAAAAAAAAGAACCTTAAGAAATAACTTTTCCTATTTCTATAACAAGACTATATATATTGTCAACACATTCAGTAAATAATACCGTTTATAATCTTATGTGTTTGCTTAACAAGTAAATCAGTTAGAACTTAATTTGTAAACCTATTATATTTTGACCTTAACAATTACTCTGTTTCACCTTGAAATCAAATAAGCTAGACCTTGATATCTACTCTATATTTTATGTAAGAAGTAAATGAAGCAGGAAACGAAAGCAGTCATAACTTTTCACTAATAGCCAAGTTAGCAATGATTAATGTTATTTTTCTGGAGTTCTGTACAATAGACACTTCTGACGTCTGTAATTTCTTCCCTGCGCTGGTAGTACAGACAGGTTACTTACCATACAATACTCTCTTAGCTTTGTAACAAACACATATTAAATTTATTATTTATCATGTCCCTTAATGCCGTTACATTTTCAAGCAAGATTCACTTATAATTTGACATTCTCTAAAAACTAGCCCTAAAACCATACACATGGATAACTAAGACGCATTCCTTTTGTTAGTCTGTGGTACAAACTGTTTTGTAAAGTGACACTTATCCTGCCTTTTTCAGACAAGTTTGACTTCAAACTGCACTACTACGATGGCGAGGAGACATGGGGTCAGCGCATCAAGTGGGCGTCCCGCGACTTCCTGGACATTGACCACATCATCATGAACAGCACTGGTCATCAGTACTACTTCAAACCCGACACAAAGACACCGCTTCAGGACCTGTGTATCGGGCTCTGTGTCAAATACCTTGTCCGCTGGAACGACGAAACCTTACCATGGAAACGTGAGGGTTCACGACCTCTTTCTCTGCATGACCTTGAACCTGATCTTAGTTTCAGTTATAATAGCTCTGAATCCCTTCCAAATAAATCCTGTGCCGCCAATCCACTGGACACTCACATGGATTCTCTCCCATCATTTTTAGAATCTCAAAACTTGGCTTTGTTTTACGACATAGAGTCCAAAGTGTCCGTCACAAAGGTGATAGGAGTACAGAATGACAAAGCTCTCGCCCGATTAGCACGGAAGGGAAGTGGCAGTAGCTACGAAAGTTTCCAAGGTGGTGGTGACCGTTACATTAAGAATGAAAAACGGCGAAGCATCAAGAAAAAGAGTGCAATAGAAAGTAAGATAGACAGTGATGGGGACGATTTCACGTCAGGGTTTGTGGACGACTTCGCAGGGTGTTCAGAAACACGAACGGGCTCATACATAGAGTCGTACATAGACTGAAGTGTTGTGATGTAAACTTACCAGAACGTGTATATAGTCTTATTAATCTGTAATGTACCCAGTTTACTGTGTATCTTCACATTTGCAGCTGTTGCAGTGTGAGAAGGTCATCACAAACTCATCATGTTTATACCCACAAACTCATGTTTATATCCGTAAACTCATGTTTATTCCCGCAAACTCATCATGTTTATACCCGCAAACTCATCATGTTTATACCATACACCACCCATTTTATTTGTGAATGTTAATTCCAGTAACAATCATCATCATAGTAGTATTTAAAATTTATGTATGTTGTCATGAAGATTTGTATTGGTATTTTATCGAGTTATACATTCTTCATCGTTAATGTAAAAATCTTTTTTTAAATTTACAAGTAAATTATGTCCATACTGTTGACCTAGTAGTTTTAGAACCATTTGCTTTGTCCATTCACTAGAGAACATCAGTAAAGTTCTATGTTCTGTGCAGAAGTTGATGTACTGTACCATATTTTTCCGGTGATAAACTCTTCTCGGGATGAAGGCCACCCTTATAGAACTATTTTAAAGATGAGAACCAGTAATATCAGGAAATACAAGCCTTTATTGTATAATTATTTAAATAGGCAGAAAATGCAAGTCTAATAGCCAATAAACTGTCAATTTGGAGACCAATATAAGTCTACTCGCTAATTAAGTTTATGCAGCTTGCATCTTGTGCAGTGCAGTTTTGGCATTTTAGTGGAAAAAATACATATATAGGTTATCAAGTTTGAAACTTTTAGGTGAGGTCTATACTGATAAAGAGTAGACACTGATATATCAGTTTTGTAGATTTACCATACAAGTACTGCTAAAATAGTGAAAACTAGTACAGTACTGCAAAAATAGTTAAATACAGCTGAAGCAAAACAGATCTTGTTGTTAAGAAAGTGTAAAGAGAACAGTGTATCTGAGATAAATATTGTTTATAGAGTATCAGTGTTTCTGAGATAATTATTGTTTATAGAGTATCAGTGTTTGGATTATATTGTATTAACGTGGTGGCCAAGTGGTTATGGTGTCGGACATTTTGCTACCACTAGTCCTCCACCACTGGTTCGAGTGTAGGTCGGTGATTTTTCTCCGGGATCTCTGGCTTTCCTCCACCACCAAAACCTGGCACGTCCTTAAACGACCATAGCTGTTAATAGGATGCATTTCCTTGCTATATATGAACAGTGTAAATATTATGTTGCATTGTACATTATATCTCCTGGCTAAATGAAAAAAATATACACATATATACAATTTAGATTGAAGTGCATCTCCTTGCTAAGTATAGGTAGTTACATCGTATGTCCTCGGCTAGGACTTTACTATAGGGGTAAATTCTATTGAAAGGTTACTGGTTCGATTCTTCTCCATTTTGTACCTGTTTGACTGAGAGTGATCTGAGTCATTGTCTATATTTCCCATGTGGTTTTGTATATGTAGTGTCTAACAGAAGTCTGTAGTGTATCTAGCAATATGATCGTCCCGTAGTGTGTGCATGTATATCTGTCCATGTAGGACCTATGAACACAAAAATCACTGTGTTAACCATTAGCATCAATTAGCAATGTCCACAAGTAATAGATGCAATTTTCAGTGTAACTCAACTGAAGCAATACTATGTATCTGTTTATGATATTAGATATAGTTTACAACAGACACAAACAAGTAGAAACCCTGTATCAGACATGCTTCCAACACGGATATTTTCAGTTTTGTAGACAATTAATACATTAACATGTAAATAAATTATGTTGATACATGTATGTTACATGTTTTAGCTGAAATGTTTTCAACTTCTGTCTAATGTTTCAGAGATGTGTAAATACTAACAAGAAATGCTATCAAGCGTTTAAAAAAAGAGAATAAGACACCTGTGATACTTCTCACTAAGAACATAGTTTGTATATATCTTGTTTTAGAAATGCTTTTGTTCCAAAGTGAAGAATCTTTGTGAACAGATGCTATTGTTCTCTTGCTAGGATTGTAACAATGAGCACGTAGCGAGGGAAAGTAGCTCCAATAATAATGACCTGATCATGACAGCCAAGAAAATTGTCCCCTTTCATAGCTTAAAACAAGTACCGGGAATTGGGAATTAATTCAGTCAGCTAAGGTAACTGGTTAATTTTACTGTGAATCCAACACTAAAGATTAAGATTATAATTGACAATGGACAATACATCCATAATTTATATTTAATAATGATGTAACAGAAAGGCATGCTTTGATATAGGTATGCAAATTGAGCTGGTAAATATACATGAAGTAAGCTGACACGTTAATGCCTTTGTGTGGTTTATATTATAACTGTATATCATCCTATGTATCAACTGGGCTGGCAGAATACACTTCAGATGTCCAAAACTGTAATATAGCAGGGATGGAGTCTTTCTCAAGTGCTGCTAATGTTATATATACACTGTATATATACATTAATAACTGTCCATTTTTTTTCCAATTACAAATACATGTTACACATGTACATGCTGTTGCCTTACTGCGAAAGAAATGTCCATTATATAAAAAGATAAATGTTTCAAGCTTCTAAGTATATTTTTTTATAACAAAAAAACTATAACTAATGGGTTATTTTATAATTACATGTACTTGGTAGTGATAAAGTATTCTGTACATATGTTACACCGTTGTGTTTTACTTGATAAAATATGGCTGCACTTTATGTACATTGTATGTATTACTTGGCACTGTTTAACTGTTACACATATTACTGAACATTACAGTTAGGAAGTCATTATTTTTATATTTCATCCTGGCTGTTTCCTAGAGCTAAAGTTAGATAAGTGTTAATAGCTATTGTTTAATATCATTATTACACATAAACACCAATTTGCTGTTGAAATTTTATAATTAATTTTATTTTCAAACCTGGTTATTTGTGTGAGTAGGTCTCAAATTGTCCATGTTATTTAAACAAAAAATATCCATTGTTGGCAGATTTGTTGTGGTGGCTCAACTTTCATTGTTAGGCTGTCTGTGATATGTGTAAGTAAATCAGTAATATTTCATACAAAAGACTTACTTGTGTTGGTGAATTTAGAAAACCTCAAGGTCAAAAGCATATGAATGCATTTATATTAATTTTATAACCTTTAACCTTGTAAATTCTAAAGTGTTTGCCTTTCATTAATTGTGAACATGTAGCACGTTTATGTTGACATAATCCCAAATCATTTACGGTGTAGGTGTGTAGCTCTGTATGAAATATATCTGTTTTACACTTTACTGGTATCGCTGTTTTACTTGTCCCTCTAATGAGCTGGTGAACAGGAATATCATCTTTCGGGAGTCGCCTACAAATTAATCTGCCATAAAAAATGGATTATGTTCAAACTTTATATGAAAAAATAAAAAATATGTATTTGTAAAATATGTTTGTCTATGTTTATTTTTGGAGTAACGAAAAACTTCAGTGTCCTGTGTACGTATTAAAACATTTGATCGAGATAAAAATTTGGAAGGAAAGGTTGTCCCAACATTAATCTTGTTTGCAAAGACTGAAAATAGAATTGCTAAAGATAATGTTAGAGTAAACTTTAATACTTTAATAAAGTTTGCATCGCTAATTATTGCTGTTTGACCTTTCAAAAAACAAATCCTAATGTTGATAATCTCTGCTTTACTAGCAGTTGTCCCCTCGAAGAAAAATGGTGCTGAAACAAATACAATGTACTATGCATTGTTAACAAAATTCGACAGCAGTATACGTACACTTCGTCAATACCATGTTGAATTTGCCCTGATATGTAAAATTCAAGTGAAAAGTTGTACTTATACAGCATTGTGGCCCTGCTATTTTATTGGGGGCGTAAAGTGTTTTCCATGTCGGCTAATTTTCTTCTGATTCACTTTCTCGCTCTAGCAACTTCATTGACAGATTTTGATCAAACTTTACACAAAGATTTAATTCATACCTCAGATAAATCTTAAATTAAACCATTTTTTTTAAACTTCATACAAGGTCAAGTATGAAATTAATTCAAATGACATGTATTTCAGAAACCAAGGTTCAAGGTCGAGATTAATACAAATTTGTCGAAAATTGCTTAATAAATGGGAGCAGGGCATTCTTGTCCGAGTTGTGAAGGGAAAAAAATCCTAGATTGTCTACATCAAGAAAGTTTTACAATACTCTCACTTCACAGGAAATATCAACAACTTTTTTCAATACAGTGAGCGAAAGAAATATGGTTTTATAAATTAAGAGAAAAGGGTATCAAAAGAGGCTTCAAATTTTAGAGCCTTCATATAAAATCCCATGGCCCATGTACTAAAGATGTGTTCAGGAACATTGGAGATGTCCTAAATTGGAGCATTTTATATCCTTTTCCAAGATTTTCTTTTGTTAAAGAGATATAGAGACTGAAAATGCATATGGAATGATTTTTCATGGAAATCCAAATATTTCAATATAGGAATGTGATATTTAATTATTCTACACTTCAAGAATTGAAAGAATATGAATACACCAAAATAGTAGAATTTGGGAATTTATCTTTAATAAGATGTTGGAGCAAAAATAATTTATTTATCCTTGAGCAATATTTCTTGCTTTCTAATTAAATTGTATGCATCATCATAAGTCATTGCTGTATCGTCACCTGCAAATGTTCATTCGTGCACGACCACGGTGATCAGAGTTAAAGTGCATGGGAAAGGTTGTTAAGGTAAAGGGAACCACTAGTACTGCACAAATTATAAATGTGAAAAAGAGTTCCACATTTTAGTTGTATTTGTTCCCTTGTAGATAGCGTATTAGTCCCCTTGGCAATGTTTATCATATGCATGTACAATCTCTGGAGAGCAGGATTAGTAACTTTGCAGATTTGGCAGTGGATCTGTATAGGTCCAGTGTTAGACTTCTGGGAATTTTTTCTCTCGGAAATTTGAACAAGGGTAATTATAAAATGCATCACAAGATGTATTATTTTTCTGAATATATAAATTGATGGTACTTTTAACCATAATAACAGTCGTACAGCTTATTTTATAAGAGTATTTATGTTCACATCTAACTTTTAAAGTTAAATTTCTTTTCAAGGATCATTGCTTCTGTCAAATGTTTGTGGTAGGAGAATGTAAATCAGTATAATAGACTGGTACCTACACAAGAGTATCATAACAATCGTTGGAGCTGGTCTAGATCATCTGATTTCTCTTATTTTGTTGCTGAAGTATTTCTCAGAAAATTTACAATATAAAAACATTTTGTGCAAAATAAAAATTGCTGGGTGTAAATTTTTGAAAGCGGTTACAGCCATCACATGCAGTAAACCTTTAAATTAAAAAGATGGAAATTTGAAAAGAAATTTATTTATGATGGAAATACTAATTTACCATTTACCAGTATTTCAATACATGAAATATCTGCAAGTGCAATCATGAAGCAGAGTTTAGAAGAAGTTTTAGTTCTCAAATTAAATCGGTGTTGAGAAATCTGTGTAAGCTTTGGATACGTTGCTCTTGGAATCGTTTAAATTTCTACTAAGCAATATTTTACCATGTCAATATTGATTAAAACTATTTTTAAGTAACAAAACGAGTCCTTTGTTGTCATTTGAGTACTCCGGTGAGATATCCTGGGTAAGATTACAGAATATCTAAAGATTTAACGATCCTTGTACCACTGCCAAAAACTCAACTGTAATTACGCATTCGAAGGTGTTATTAAAGCATGACTTTTTATGGTTTTGATAAATCATTTCTGAAAAGAAAGTCATACCTTGCGTACTTTTGTGAAACATAATAAATATACAATAGATATTTAAAAAAAATTACCACCAGGTTTCTCAGGGTAAAATTTCTTTGGGGCTAGACTGAGATTTAAACCCAGGACTTCAGGTATTATTATAATATTACTCTAACCAACTGAGGTAGCTGGTGGTCAACAGAAGTGGCCTGGCACAATTGTGCTACTACCATATCCAAAAATGAAGTTAGGGTGACACAACTGTTTTTGCAGAGAACCAATGGAATATCTCCTTTTTTTTCTTCTTCTTTTTCCAACAAATTTTATTGGACAAAAAAATTGAACAATGAGACAACAGGCTTAGCCTATATAAGTCTTCTCCTATCCGGTATTGATGGACAAAAAGCATAAATTTAATACATAGCTCAACAAGACACTCATATACACTTACAAACATATATGCTAGATCATTCAAACATGTTATCAATATAAGAGAGAAAAAGAAACATTATTTGATGAAATTTGATATATACTTTCTTAGCAAATCATATATATGTTTATACACTCTGACCACACTCTGTAACACACATACACACATAATAAATATGCATTCACACACACAAGCCCTTGCTCAAAAGCATACTAATTAAATAACTTTTATAAATTATAAAATAAATATATATATATACATATAAATAAATATAAAAGGCAATAAAAACAGTCCTTATTCTACTTCAATCTGTTAGTAGCAGAAATGTATGTTGAACTTGAGAGAATTAATAAATTATCATCAGTAGAAAGATAACCATTACTAGATGTAAGTAGATCAACAGATGAATATCCAAAATGATTAGTGATGTCAGTTATGAAATGTCTATAGTTAGTATAAAGTGGACAGAGGAAGAAATAGTGTTCAGCATTTTCACAAGATGCACTACAAGAACAAGATGGATCAAGTGATCATTGAATTATTACGTAATTGACACAATAATATATTTAGTTTTCTTGGATTACAGGTGATGAAGTCTTCAGAAATGTTCCTGGGAGGTGTTTGAATTTTGTTAATTTTCTTTTTAAAAATAACTGATAGTCAGAGAAGAAGTGACAGAATGATCGAGATTGTTCCATAGGTGCATGACATCAGGAAAAAAACTACGGTTGTCGATACAAATTCTAGATTGAGGAATGTTAAAAAATCTATTTGTCCGTTAATGGTGATTGAGTTTTATATTAATATAAGGTTCAATGATGTCAAATAAATAATCAGGTGTTAAGTGGTTGAGGATTTTATACATTAAGAAAAGTTTATTCTTATTCCGCCGATCTTTTAATTTTTCAAAACCTGTTTCATAGTATAATTTGATGAAATGTACCACTTCTTATAGGGCCAGTTATAATTTTCATTGCTTCAATTTGAACGGATTCCAGTAGTTTTTCTTCCCCAATGTTACAGTTACCCCAGACAGAAGAGGCATATTCTAAAGTAGGACGAAGGAAGGAGAAATATAGTAATTCTAAAGATTTCCTATCAATTTTATGTTTTAGCATACGCAGAATATTTAATCTTTTACATGATTTATCATACATATATTTAACATGATCACCCCAAGAACCAATAGTATTAAATACTACGTCGAGATGTTTATAAGAATTGTTTTCATGTATTATCTGATTATCAAATACAAGTAAGGGATGCTGTCAATTTTCTTAGTTACTGTTAATGCAATAGTTTTTTGAGGATTAAAATTGATTTTCCAGAGTTTTGCCCAATTATTAATGGATTCGAGATCATCGTTAATTTCTTCTGCTGGAGAAGTTACATCTTTGTCAACAATTATATAAAGTGACGTATCATCAGCAAAAAAGTTTTACGTTGGTGTTAATTTCATGAGTAATATCATTAATGAATATAAGAAATAAAAAGGGACCAAGAAGAGAACCTTGTGGAACATCAGCAGACATTGATTTAAAATTAAAAGCATAACCTTCAAAAATAACACGTTGTTTTCTGTCAGATAAGAAAACTTTCAAACCATTTAAAGAGATTACCAGAGATACCAGAGATACCATATTTTTTAAGTTTATAAAGAAGGCCTTTATACCATACCCTATCGAACGCTTTGCTAATATTACAGAAAACTAATCTTATATCTTTACCTAAGTTTTTAATAATTGAATCGTATATATAGAAGTTAACTGATTGACTGTTGAAACCCAGACTAGTTTTCACTAATGATATGGTGTTTAGTTATAAAATTAAACACATGTTTAAATACTATCTTTTCTAAAATGTTACTTACACAGGAAGTGATAGCAATAGGTCTGTAGTTACTAGGATCATCCACAGCACCTTCACCTTTATATAAAGCATTAACATTGGAGGATTTCCAAGACTGGAATCTTACCAGATGTGATAGTTTTCTGAAAGAGTATATCTAGAGGTTTTACTATAGAAGGCAGAAGATTTTTAATTATTTTAGGGGATTTACATTGTCAGGCCCAGCAGGTTTAATTAAGTGAATTTTGTCTATTACATCTTGATCAGTTATAGTGCATGTATCAGAAAATTTTAGGTGACTAAGGGGAGGTAAGTCAAATTCAGAGTCATCATCTGCAGTAGGGTTAGATATTGAACAGAAGATGTTATTTAATGCTTCAGCTTTATCCATGGGATGGATTATTATATTATTGCCAACTTTAGGAGGATGATAGGAAGAAGACTTGTTAGAAAAATTGCTGATGGATTTGGCATTCGCCACCATTTACCAGGAGGAATGGATTTGTCAGATAAAGTATTCTGTAATTTGCTTAAGTAGTTATTTTTTTCCTGCCTGATCAAATCAATAATATTATTGCGTGAGACTCTGAATTTTAGCCAGTCATTCTTGCTATTTCTCCTTATTTCTTGTGTCATCCATGGCTTATCATTAGGTCTGATTCTTATTGTTTGGATGGGAATGTTTTGTAGCTAGAAAATTCATTTTGTTAACTATGATATTATTAAAGTCATCAACACTATAATTCTGACCTATCATAACATCCCAGTCTGTTAACGATAGATTGGTATTCTTTTCTTGCCAGTTAGCTTTTATTAAATTTATAAATAGTAAGTTTAAATGATTTTCTATAATAGTCTTAAAGCATACAGTAATAGTAATAGGACAATGGTCGCTACACAATGGTGACAGAACTTCAGAGCTCTGAACAATATTAGGATTATTAACATAAAAAACATTGATGCAGGTCGCAATACTGCTAATAAGAAAAAATCTTAAAAAAGGGGGGGAGTAGTGTGGCAGGGTTCAATTGTACATAAGATTAAGGTCGCCTTCTAGCTTCGAGCTTGAGGGAATTTCCTGACGTCCAACTAGGAATCTGGAGATCGAGGGTTCGGTTCCCGGTGGAAGCACACTATTCTCTTTCCTGTTACAAATGTATATCAAACAAACATCTGAAGGGGCTTTGGAGTCATCAAACCACAACTTTCCACATACAATAGATATATAAGTTATGCTTTTCACTGAGAGAACAGATCTAAAGCTATGTAGGAGAAATAAAGTCCAACTTTAACTGCTGCTCTGAAAACTAGTGATACTGACAAGTAACAACGGTGGCCTCCAGTTGAACCTTAAATTTCCCCCACATTGTCAAAGCACAAACTACATTGTTCATCTAGGCTTTCAGAATATGGTTAATATGTCACAAATCACATAGTATGAACAGATTCAGACCAACAGAGCTCCATTTGAGGTCTGACAGGTCTCGGCCAATCATTGCAAACGCTGTGGTGGACAACTTCCACTAGGGGATCTAGAAACTGTGTTCTTATTCACCATGTACATTATCCACTTAGTGTTAATTACCACTAAGCATAGCCAAAAAAAATTACATGAAGAAGAACAAAAGGTGAGTGTAACCATACGAGACTTTTGCAATTAGGAGTGACTGGCAGCCATCTTTGACTTTAAATTTGGGATTCTAATAACAAGGCAATACCACCTTATTACCTTAGGATATCCATCAAATAACTATACCATCAAAAAGAATGATGGTGGGTTGGCAAAATTAAGGCAAGTCAATGTATTTTTGATAGTTTTTCTACATTCTATTTTGTAGCAAGTGACCTTGACCTTAAGACCTTGCATCACCATGTAAAAAATATTAGAATTGTGAAAAAAGACATGTTGTGTTGCAGACTGATAATTCGACAGATGGACACCATCTTTGATGCTGGGCTATCACAAATAAGGTTTGTACATTTGAGGAACAAGAAAGTAATATTCGTTTTTATTTGTGTTCATTCTATTCTTATGTAAGCACCCACTGTCGACACCTATAGAAGCGATTTTTACATGCATTAATACATTAACCAATGGCTTCATGTCCTATCCAAAACAATCTTGACCCGTATTCATTAAACCGTTCTCATGCTCAAGCCTTAATTATTTCTTGTACCGGTTATGAATTGTTTAAAAGCTCTTATTTTGTCAAAGTTTTGGAATAATATTGAAGAGACATGAAACCGAATACTGTTTTCAATATTTACATTTGACTTTTTGATTGTTGACAGGATTTAAGCGAATTACAAGAAAGCTGGCTTGAGCACGAGAACGGTTTCATGAATACGAACCCCGGTCAAAGCCTAAAATAGTTCTTCAGTGGGCACAAGATAATACTGTAACACTACTGAAAATTCTTCATTTGTCCTGGATTCAAATCAATTAACTTAGCCTTTGGCCTAATTACCAATAAACCCTCTATAAGAGACATTATTTTTTTCAATTCTCTCAAAAACATCATGTTTGTAATGAAGACACAACTATTGCGCTGGACATGAACAATTTTATTGTAATCAAAGGGAGATCATCCTTACTCCCGCTGTTTCTTACAATCAATGTATTACATTCTCAATCAAATGTAAATAACAAAATGAGACCAAATAAGGAACGGATACACCTCTAGATGCACGAATAATTGAATACTTTTTTTGGATAAGATGCAACACTACTGCATCTATATAAGTGTTAGTCTGAGCATACATAATACCATGTCTGGACTCGGTAACATTGCATATTTCACACAAGTCAATTTCAAGTATTTATCATCTGCCAATTTAGCTCAGTTACTTTATAATTAATGTACCTCGTGAAGTCTACTGCTATTTCACTTATGACCAATCTTGACCAAAATGTTGATTTTACCAATGAAATAATAATGGTCTGAGCCTGTCAAACAGGCCATTCCCATCCAAACGGATATTAATTCTATAACGTTTGATAATAAATAGCTTTGGGAGAGCACTAATGTACATGGACAAATGGGAGTACAGCTGTTCTTTGAAATCTTCATAAAACCAGGTGAAAACCAAAATAAGCATTACCTATGTAACAACTGTACTTCATTAATATATACATAATAGTCATGCAATTAAAAGATTTTTGACAAGTGTAAATGATAACTTGTGAACAAGTTAATGGTTATGATGAGAAAGTGGAGACAAAACACATGACCTCGTCACAGATTCTGATCAACAGATATTTTAAACATTTCAATATACTACATGTATACAATGTATTGCATCTTACAGACATACATTATGTACCAGTATCACGGATGACTTGCATAAACCTTACCAGATATTTCTGACTCTTCATTCTAATTCAAGCATGAAGTGGATACAAGATATTAATAGATAAAGTACAATGTACATGTATGTCTTTTTTATTGAAAGGATTTTCTTTAGTCAACAGCAACCCATCTTTTAGACAGGAATTCCAGTCCAGTCCATATTGCACAGGCGATAATTTATTTTAGCAAAATGAAATCTCCTTTCAATGAGTTAAATGCCAAGAACACGGACAAGATGATCCTCTCTGACATATACCACACGAAGGTACATGTAAAACAAGATTTCTCATAGTTTGCAGTGTCCATCATCACTATTTATCACAGAAATTTCCCAAATGCCCCTGGGATGGGGTTCAGTACTCCTCCCCCGGGGAGGTGTCTGGTCCGTTGGGCTGGGGCTCAATACTCCTCTCCCGGGGAGGTGTCTGGTCCATTAGGGTGGGGCTCAGTACTCCTCCCCAAGGGAGGTGTCTGGGTCGTTAGGATGGTGCTCACTGCTCAATACTCCTCCTCCAGACACTTGTCCACAAGTTTACGGAGGTTAGGGTTCTCCATGGCAGCTGCTATCCTCTCTTTGTCATTAATTTGCTTGTTTACTTAAACAGAAAGAAAATACATTTACAATTCATAAATGCTAAGTTTGTTTTGAACACAAACAGTCTATTCATCCTTTTCTAAGATATTTGGACAGACTTGGAGGCAATTCAATATTTAGGGCAATTTTGGGATTGGTGGAAGTAATCTGCAGGCTTAACCTATAAGCACTTCTATCAAAAAATGTAAAATACACCATTTTTTTCCGAGTTGGTCTACTGATAATCTTGTAAGATAAATGCATCATGACTAAGATCTGACCTTTAGAAAGACATACACACTGTATGCGCTGAGCTACATAGTTACCAGTCAATGACAAACCTTTTCTAGGTCCCCTGCCAATGCTGTCTAGTAAAAAGGATAATAAAGTAACAAGAAATGTTTTTTAATACAACTCGCTATCTAAAGATGTCTGTGTGTTATAAACACTTCTGATCAAAAGTTTAAAACATCTTTGTTTGCATATCATAGTAATTCAATTGATAGTTCATGTGTTAAGATTTTATCTCATCATCATATGACATTAATTTCTCTCATTTCTGTGTTTACCAGACAGAACTGGGATTTTCAAATTGTGGCAAAACCCTTGGCAACCCTTGGGTTCAACCAAATACAGAAACCCTCGGTAGGAATTTCCCTATCCTACCCACCTAGGCAATAAATAGTCCTATGATCTTTGATGTAATTACACACTATAAGACATGAACCTCATTTTCTCATTGGCCAGGCATCCCAAAATAGGTCAACGGCAGAGAGGCAATGCTTATTTTGGCATACCGTAACAGTAGGAGGGTCTTCCCAGTAGCTCTGAGTGAGTGTTCATATCTCCTAAATTTTAAGCAACACAATAGCCACACCCACAGTACAATGTATTCTATTTTCACACGACTGCAAAAGGCAAGGACCTTTTCTGTACATGTAATGTATCTTACATGTAATGTAGTGTATTCTGTGGTTGCCTTGCTCAATTCAGGGAGGTTGATATCATATAATCAATTATTAAACTTATGTGGGTAAAACAATGATTTGACAAAAAAAATCATCTGATATGTTAAAGCAGTTATTTATGGTAAGATTTTCGCTAACAATGACAACTTACTCTCATCTGCTGTGGAATGCTTGCCTTTCTTTATGAAAATATCCAACTGGAAAATAGATACATATCAATTTCAGTACACACTGTGGTTATAATGTATTACAACATGTTTTCCCATACCTGTATAAAGTCATTGTATGATATATATCATGCGAAAAATATACTGATGACAATTATGATTCAGAGTGATTATTTGAAATTACATTTAGAAGGTGTGGACACATTCTTGTGAATAAAACTCATAATCATTAAACCCTGATGTAAAATATATAACTTTTTGTGAGAAGGGAGCTAACTCACCCATTACTTAATACTACACCTAATTATAAGGGCCTGTTCGTTGCAGAACAACCGGTTCGTCTATTTTTAAATGTAACATTTTAGCATTAATCCTGGCAGACCTGCAAAACTTTAAACTATGGAGGCCTTGCAAGGCTTTGTCAAGGCTCACCTGAAAGCAGCATCAGATTACTGGGTCCAATCTTATTTCATAATTGAACAACTCTGGTCCAACTGGTTTAACTGTTTGGATCGCTATAAACAAAAGAGGCCTTAATAATACATTTTGTACTCAGATGTAATGAACTTACCTTATATTTTTCTGTGAGAGATCTTTGTAACTTTGACCGGATGCATAAACCTTCAAACATAAATGTGTATATTACTTTACTTGATACAGAAGTACTGAAATATGTTAATGAAGTTATATAAGTACCTAAATTAGTTGAAATTCTCATCAGTACTGTCCTAGTTCCTAAGGCAACAATTTGAATTTTTCATCTTTGCAACAGTCCAATTCTTAGGATGACGTTTTCACCAATGTTGGTGTTACAACATTGTTGATTTTTTTTTTTACCTGGAAACCATAGCATGACATCCCATAAGTCACATTCTGACAATGGGCCAATTAACAAGAGTTACATGCAGCCTTGAAACAAGTTTACCAGTATCCCTAACCACCATTCATTCTTTGAAACAAAGATGAATATTCCTTTTTTCAAATTACAGGCCCCTTTTTTTTTTCAGATGACACATCATTATTGTTGCCTGTGTATGTACTATAAGTATAATGTTACCTATGAGGGGAGCCAAGGAACAGTGGGGCACTGTAGGGATGAATTCTATCCGGACACCGAACTCATCCTCTCCACATTTCTTCACAAAGACATCTTCTTCGCGAACCACTTCCAAGTCTTCCAGATTGGACGGCTTCTCTGGATCCTCTATTCCTCGGATTAGGTCTGTAAAAAACAGCAAGAAACATACAGATTATAAAGCTTAATATTAGTTTTTATCAATCAATTCCAAATTCAAATCCTTAGAAAAGAGATAGATCTTAATTTCACCTGCAATAAACTGTTGTTTGAAAGTAAGTTAAACCCTACTTAGCCTCAAATTTTATGATAATTGCAACTAGGAATTTGCTGATGAAAATTCCAAGCATATAAAGACAATATCATGCTTTCTCTGACAAAAATCTATCCACTTAACATAGCCCAGTAAGTATAATTTAGTTGCCACTTTGAGTGTGGTTGCCTGGATGGAACAAGTGTACACTCTACATATATTGATCACCATTTTACCCTACAATTTTCAATGTCTTTGACATCTTGACCCTCCTGATCATTTGGGAATAGTTTCCAAAAGATTGTTGACAAATTTCAAAAATATGGAGGTTATATAATGTTAGCAGATGATTCAGTTGGAAAGAGGGTTAATTTGAACATGTTTTGTTGTAGGGCTATTCAGTTTTTTTGGAAAGAGGGGCTGGGATGGAGAGCTAGTTTTTATGCCTTGATATACTAACTGGAGGAATAAGTCTCTCCAATTTTACAGCAGCAGGTTTACTATTGACGATGTTATATAAAATGGTAAGATGAACATCTCTGTCTTTCTGCAAAGAGACAAAATTGTATGTGGCCCTAACTTCCTGTTCCACCTGATGCACAATGATTGTACCTGTGCACTGCTTAGTAAGCATCTAGTGGGCAACCCTGATTAGGCCAGTATATATGTAGGATGAACTTGATATGAACAAATGCAGAAGGACGAGGAATAGTGATAAAGATAGTGCCATTGTTGGGGCTTGAACCTGCGACCCTTGGCCTAAAGAGAAATTCCCTACTTATAGCCGACGCTTGTAAGGCAACCTAATCAATGCACACTTTTTATACTATTCCCTCCTTTTTCCAAACACCAACCCAGGTTCTTTGACTCCCTGCTAAATGTTCTCCTACCTTGAAGGGGGAGGGTCAATAGCACCAGTTTGTAGTAGGACGAGGAATAGTGATCAAGATAGTGCCATTGCTGGGGCTTGAACCCGCGACCCTTGGCTCTCCAATCTCTCAAGTCTGATGCTTTACCGCTGAGCTAAAGGAAAATTCCCTACAGCTGACGCTTGCAAGGTAACATACTTATCAATGCACATCTTGTACATAAACACTAAGTGTGATTTCTACCAAACATCAAGTGTTGAAGCTGCTAGGCCAGTAAACATGTCGCCGTGGACAATAATACATATAGTGATTCCTACCGAATATCAACTGTTGAAGCTGCTCACACTCCGTGTCGTCGCCGTTAGTGTTAGCAATAGCTGGTTGGCAAACGTTGCTGGCACTGGTGGCCCCCTGGTTCGAGTCTCCATTCGATACTACCTGCTTTAGATTACTCATATCTATTCATTCATTCGTGACATTATTGAAAATAAATATATACTTGAAGGTTAGCACAGTTGTCAACGAACAATTTCACTAAAACGTCAAGAAAACAGATCGTCAATATGAAGACTTCTCGTCCTTGGGCAGTCTGAAAAAAGGTCAGAGGTCATTTAAGCGGAAGTCAACATCTTTAACGGTTTAGTTTAAAATCAAATTAATTATGTGTTCTTGCATTTGTTTAACCATAAAGGATCAATAAAATCATGATAACAGAGATAAAAAAAATATGTTATTTAATTTGCTTCACAACAATTAAATAAAAACGGTATAAAACTGTCTGATCGAACGCACCTGTCATTTCAACGCATGTGCACTGGTCTACTTCCGTTTAGTCCCAAGTAATGATGAAGAAAGGACAATATCTTCGTTCGAAGGATTCTGCAACTGAATGGGATATTCTTCGCGTCACAGATCCGAAAGTAAGTATTTCAATTATAAAATAATCAACATAAAACATGCAAAAGCTTGTCGACATTTTCCTGTTTGTCAACATTTCCCTTCTTTGCATGACTGGCATGAGTCATCATCGGCTGTGACTGGCTACAGGCGATGTTGTTGTTTATCAAAACTTAATTTTGTTTGTCAGTGGGGAGTTCAGGCCATGTTTGGCTCAGAGCGAACCTCAAGCCATATCTGGCACTGTAGCTGTATCGGCCCATCACGTTATTACAGTCTACGCGGTGCTGTGTATCATTTTTACTTGCGTCAATATCATATGATATTGAAATGAACCGACTTGTAAGAGTTGCTAATGTTAAAACTTGGCAGAGATATATACACATGATGTCTGAGACATTTATAACCTTTGCCCTCAAGCCTCTCATGCCTGGGAATTTGCCACACTTTTCCTGGGCAACATAACATCCTTTATTGTTAAAAAAAATATCATACTGCTTACTGTAGGGTATTTACAACATGTTTCGTCTGAACAAATGCACATAAATTTGCATGTCAGGGATTTAAAATTGTTACCTTAAGGATATCATTTTAAATGTTCTTAAACCTGGCTAAGATACATCATATGTTATAATAGGATTCACCAGAACAACTGTATTGTATACATATATGTGCATGTTGTACTTGTAGTTTGAATCACTTGTAACACACAATTGAACATTTAATTACACAATTTAACAATATGAAAACATATTTATTTCAAGTGTTTAAAATTGACATTTGGCCATGATAAGTATAAAACTATTAAATGACCTCAGACGTGAACAGTATCACACTGTTTATCGACAACAAAGTGTCAGCCTGTCTGATTTCAGACATAACACATGCTTTTCACTTTGAATTTACATATATATATAGTGCATCAATCGCAAAAAAGAAATCTAAAATCCAAATCTATAAATCCAATAAGACATTTCTGTTCAATGTTGGATTTTAATGAAAAGAAACAGTTCAAATACGAGTAAGCATGCAATAGGGTACCGTAGGGAAAAATTACAGTATAATATCAGTATGGTTTTACTCATTTATAAGTTTTTAATGATGATTTAGATGTTGTTTCTCCTTGGCTGGAAAGACATTTGTTAGTTAGAAATCCACTGACACCTGCCACTTAAACGTATATATGGTTGTACAGTTAAAGATTTCTTCATTACTGATTAAAAACTTAAAGAAACATAGTCTCTCGTCGATTTCTTGACATGAATTGTTCATAAGGAGTATCAAATTATATTATCACTCTGCAAACTCTTGATCACAATTTCCTTCTGCTAAAATTCCATATTTTCCTTCAGTAATTTATGTTTATTAATCAATCAATTAATTAATGTTTCCCAAAGAAATAGACATCATTTGCACCTCTGAGAGGACACCCTGACCTATTTTACAGAGCGTGGAGATCGGCTGCAAACTTGGACTGAAAACTTTTCAAAACTATGACCTTTCCATATGATTGTTTGAAAATGTTTGTTTTAATAATAATAATAGGAAATCAATAACTTATGTATTTACCAAACACTTGAACAAGATAATTTTTTACATTCATGAACCCTGTAATGTTCCTAACTCTATACAAATTGCTGATTAGACCTCATCTGGAATACTCGACAAAAGTTTCATCACCATTTTTGATCCGCGACAAAATTACAATCAGGAACATCCAAAGAAGAGCAACCAAAAAGATTCCAACTCTTAAAAAGGTACCATACGAAGAACGTCTAAGACAACTCAGACTCCCAACTCTCGAATATAGAAGACATCGAGCTGACGTAATTCATACCTATAAAATATTAAACAACATGGACATTCTTGACAAGGGCAAACTATTCCATGAAGCTGAAGACAACTGAAGACATTCTTGACAAGGGCAAACTATTCCATGAAGCTGAAGACAACCGAACAAGGGGGCAATCGAGGAAACTATTCAAAAGAGTATGCAGACTGAACGAATGTGGTAATTTCTACAGCAACAGAGTGATAAATCTGTGGAACTCTCTAACAGAGGAGGTAGTAATTTCTCCAACGCTCAACACCTTCAAGTCACGGCTCAACAGCCACTGGAAAATCACCCGACAAAATTCAAGCCATCTTTTTACTAGTGACATATATATGTAAGTCTAATCAGTCAAAAGTGAACAATGTAACAAATTGACTGTTTGGCACGGACCATGCTTTTAAAAATCACATGTTTTTAACCATCAAATTGTAAAGGAGAGGAACTAACAGTGGGAGTTGAATACTTCAACCCTACCAGATCAGGAAATGAACCTGTAATTGTAAATAGCTAGCAACCAGAAGTCACATTAGTACGTGTGTATATTATACATCACCACAAGCTACTAGCTAGCTTACAAATATGTCATCTGAGCGAAACTGAGCGAAATGATCAAGGCCTAACAAAGGGTTGTTTTCTGTTCCCAAGATCTGTGACCTGATAACTGAGGAGGCTAATGCCATATTGCATCTTCATCAAAATGACGGTGTTTGTAAACCAGAGTCTGGAATTTTGTTGATTTGACAAATTGTTTTCTCTCATAATATTTTCGCACAATTTACGTAAAGCACTAATTTCTTTTTCGCAATTAGAAATCCAAATTCGCAAATTGCAGAAAATGCAATCGGTGGCGTTAGCAGAGTATCATGAAGAATTTGTTGACAAGTTTACAAAAAAGACTTATTTCACCAAATTGTNCACGAAAATGGACGCTGATGACGATGTGTCGAGCCACCTTAAAGGTCATTTTGTCCTTAATTATATTCAATGAGTTGTTGTTAGACATTGAACTCTATAAAGCCAAAAGCAATCTTATTTTTATTAATTTTTATTTGAACTCAAAAAGTAAGAAATACTGATACCATGGTAGTGTCAATGTAAGAAGAGGGAAACAGATTTGAATTGAGCGAAGTTAAGGTAGAACTGATCTGGGCTATTTCGCTCTTAATTCCATTTGCAGTACACCAGTTGTTTCACCCTAAATCCTGTTTGCCCAAGGTTGTTTTTCCCTAATGCATCTGTATATACACATTTGGAGTTTAAATGTTTTAATGGTTAGAAAATAAACTTACTATTAATATCATGTTTCACAAACAATTGTGTTGTCAGAAGAATTTCATGCAGGTGTATGCTACATTGTATATGCAGATCTGGTCTACCATGTACAAATCTAACGAGTTTAATGACGTAAAAGACTGCATAAGCCATGCACAATTTAACAGACCTTAATAAGGTTGCCCTAAAAATATCAAAACAACTGAATGTGCAACAACCCGGTGTGATGTGTGAACAGGAAGTAGGGTGAAACAACCGAATACCAGTAAAATAGCTCAATCTTTCAGGAAGAATTTGGTTTCAATCAGCTATAATTCTGAAAAGAAGGAAGGATGTTTGCCTGTACGTTTAATGATTTAATAATAATAATTATTCAGGAAAAGCCCAAAGGCAAACACTACAAAGCAATTTGATATACATGTATGTATGTAATTTACAAAGTTCTATAATTTACAAATGTTTTCTTACCCTGGAATAGCTATATATTGCCCATCAAAGCCATNCTATAGACTCAGGTGACCGTTAAGGCCCATGGGCCTCTTGTTTCTGATGGGGTTACTTTAAGGTATAATTGTATTATAATGAATATATATGCATGTACGTCTTAAGATATAATGAAAATGACTAGATATAAGAAATGGGAAAAATTTAATTAATGAAGTAGCCATAAATATACCAAAAAAAAAAAAAAATCAAGTCTTTAAGTGTTTTTTTAACTTGAATTTTGAAGTTGTATATATTTTTGACCTTCTTTATGTACTCGGCAAGTTTATTCTAGTATTATGATTTATCATGGAAGAAAGTTGAGGATTCTTGCAATTCTAGTCATCAGACTCAATCTTGTATGATACACACAGTCCTGGATTGAGAAAGATTCTTTTAAATGGGAAGGGCATTTATATATATCTTGTAAACGATATTGAAAACATGAAACACATGATTGTGTTTGAGTTCTTTAACTCTAAACTTTGCATTGCGCATGTTGCGGTTTAATTTTGAAGCTCTGTATATGTAATTCTTGTTCTGCAATCAAGTTTAATTTGATACACTTTATTCTGACTGTTTTGAAATTTTCTGCGATCTTGGAAAATAAATGATAAAGCAGGTGAAGATTTTAGTTATGGTGCCTTTTCTGCGTATTATGGATAAGCTACTCATCTTATGACTACAAGTAATTTTGTACATCAATGAAGAGCCTGGCATTTGTTCTCCTTTCCTTAAAGCTTTAAGCTTTAATGCCAACCTACATGTATACACTGGATTATTTCATTTATCTATCATGTATATAATTATGAATCCGACTCTTTTAGTTCATACAATTTGAACATGATAACCAACCAGCACTCATTTGAGAAACTCTGTATCTTCCAAAATACACATGTATTTCTTTTTTCACTACCATAATCTGAAACTGGTTTTACAAGCCCATTGTCAGTATGCTTCCTGTTAATAAGCTAAGGAGAATAAAGGCAGCATATTTTTCTTTGACCATATGCCAATTGCTCTGTCTTAAAACAAGAAAGTATACATGTTCCTGATTGCATTTCTGATTCTGTTACAATGTATGCTTCTGTATTTTGTGTTTACAGGGCTGTGTTTGGGTCCCAGTCGTTAGTGGTGTGTAAAATGTCCAGACCATCATTTTACAGGAAAGTGTTACATCCTTGTTCAACGAAACCAGCAATACCAGTTTTAAAACTTCAGATCTCATACAGCCTCAATTCGCTACCTTGGATCTTGAGTGAACAGATCTTGCACCATGGACCAGCAGCGACTACTTCATCAGTTCATACAGCGAACTGGACTAGAAGTAGAGGCTGCAGACAGCATTCTTCGGCGTAAGTATATATAGTCCAGGTGTTAACATTTAGACAGCTGAGTAATTTTATATCGTGTAGACCTGTGTTTATTTGTCCTAAAACTGAACATGTGATTTTTATACGCCCGTCGAAGACGGGGATGTATTATGTTATCACGTGAGCGGGCGGGCGGGCGGGC